TGGTGGAGAAGGCCAAAAAGATCTATGAGGAGTTCATCCAGACGGAGGCACCCAAAGAGGTCAGTGGCCATGGGGCAGGAGATGGTGCTGGGAGGGACGAGGCTGCTGCCCTGGCACCTCCATCCCAAAGGAGAGCGATGGCTGCAGGCCTGAGGGGCTCGGGGGGCTGTGTCCTTGCCAAGGGGCAGCCCCATCCCCACGTGCTGCAGTCCCATCCTCCACAAGCCTGGAGCCCCTGTTTGCATGCTCAGCCTCTGCTGGGCTGTCTGCAGCCACAGGCACCCCCAGACACGCCTGTGCCCTGATGTCAGTCATAAGGGATGCCAGTGTACAGCGATCTTCCTCCCCAAGTGGGCTGTGCAGCAGGGCAGAGCTCATCCTCACAGCTTTGCCACCAGTGATTCTTCCAGGGAAATGAGCCTCCCCTCACCCTTTGTGTGATTGTTGGTGGCACAGAGCAGGCGAGGGGAGCCCATCGCTCAGCCCTCCAAAGGCAGGCTCCCATCCCTCTTACACTCTCATGGCAGGTGAACATCGACCACTTCACCAAGGCTATGACCATGAAGAACCTGGTGGAGCCATCACCAACCAGCTTTGACATGGCCCAGAAGAGGATCTTTGCCCTGATGGAGAAAGACTCCCTGCCCAGATTTGTGCGGTCGGAGTTTTATCATGAGTTGATCAAGTAGCAATGCAGCAGGGCTGTGCAAGGCATCCCCACTGCTTCTGTCTAAACACCCGCCCCTTCTCCTGCAGCCGCTTTGCTTCCTCCATACCACCCTAGAACAGCACCCAGGGGTGTTGCTGAACACCTCCCCCCGTGCTTTGGACCGTCAGATGTCCTGGTGTTTCCTCTGTTGCCATCTCTTTCCTCTCCCACAAAAGACCAATTTGCAGAAACTCCCTGGTGCTGGGACCCAGAAGGGTGAGGGATCAGCCCCAGCCCTGCAGTGCCAGGGGTCACATGGCCAGCTGACACATCCCTGGTGCTGCGGAGCTTGGCAGTAGCTGGAGGCTCTGAGGTGTTGACTTTGTCCTCTTAGGACTCCTTAGAAGGTGAATTTTGCTCCCAGCATTGCCCACACTGCTGGTTTGGCCCAGGCTCGCTCTCTCCTCCCGGCTTCCCAGGGTGCTGCTGACACTGCACAGGTGCCTGCAGGCGCTCCCCTCCCTGGCCAGGCTGAGCTCAGACACCTCCACTGCCTGCTGGGCATCACTTCCTTCCAGAGCAGGCAGCAGCAGTGGCACGTCCAGGGACGGGGCAGGGCAGGGCCAGCGGTGGCACGTACAGCAAGGAGGGCACTGTGACAGGCACGGCAGGGACCGCTGTACGGCACAGCCGGCTGGCACCGGGGCTGAGCGGAGAGAGCTCGGGGTCAGCCTGTTTGCTTCACTCCAAACACAAAAACAAGAGGATAAAACGAGACCTGTTGGTCCAAAACACCAGGACTGTTCAGCAGCTCAGAGCTCCTGCTCGCTCCAGCCTTGCACGACGCCCTGAGCTCCCGGGGCCCGTCCTGTGCCAGGGCACAGCCCTCGTGGTGCTGGGATGGCAGCTCCGGGGCTGCCCATGGGCTCTCCTGTTCCAGTCGCTTCTCCCTGCAGTAGGCACGCCAAAGCAACACTTCTGCACAAACCCAACACAGGGACGTCGAGCACAGGAGGGAGGGAGGCCGTGCTGGGAGGGAAAGAAAGCTGAAATTCCAGATGTTCAGATCCAATTTGAAAAATCCAAACCAAACCCAAAAAAACAAACGCAAACTCAAAGCCGTCATTGGAAACATGAAAAATAACCCCCTGGCTTCCAGAGCAGAGTGCAGACCCTGCTGAGTTTGTGTAGCCTGCATCTCTCGCTCCTGCCTCCTCCTGTCTGCCCAGGCCGTGTGTTTCCACAGGCTGTCAAAGCCAGCCCTCTGCTAACAGAATAAATCACACCTGAGGATGGGGCAAGGACATACATGAAAAGCAGCCCCTGGGGTCTCATTTCAGCCTTGAGGGAAACGTGATAAACCCCTGCCCCACAGGCCTGGATGGTTCATTCCCGTTTGGTTTCCTGGTGCATCATCCCCGGGGTCACAGCTTGCAAAGAGCTGCTTCATCCAACCTGGCAGGTGCCAGCAAACACCCGTGCTGCCCGCGGGCTCCCCAGAGCTTCCCCGGCGTGCTCAGCCTCCCTGCCAGCCACGGGACCCCGTGCAGAGCACAAGAGCACAAACAACGGATTCACCAGCCTCTTCAAGACTTTCAAAATCCGATCAAAACCCCACCAGCCCCAAATATTTACACTTTGTCACTATGGTGATGAAGAAAAATACATCGGAGCTGCAGACAAATCCGAGCTGCAGGAAATGGGCTGTGTCTTCCAGGCAGGAGAGGGGAGGCAGGGGAAGGATGGAGGCAGTCACAAACGTGACTCTTTTTTTAAGCTCTGGAGCAAAAGGCCTGGGAAAGTCGGTGCTGGAGCAGCAGGGGTGATGCTCACAGGCATTCCCCTGGGGTGAATGCAGAGGGTGGCTCGGGTGACCCTAAAGAGCCCAAGGCAGAGCGTGAGCAGCAGGAGGGTCCCATCAAAGGGCACAGGACCCTGGCAGTGCCCACCCTTCAGGTGGGCAGCAAGGGGGAGGCGGAAGCAGGGCTGGGTGCGGGATGTGGGGCTTGGCCATCCCCCCTGCTGCAGGCTGCTCCCCCACCTCTGCCTGCACACCCTCCCTGCACCCTCCCAACGTCCCCATGGAGTCAGTACAAGTGGTTCAGCATGTTCGAGCTCCTCATTTACAGCGTGACTCAGAAATGCAAAACCAAACAGGCTTCCCTGCAGAAGGACCTGGATCTTCCATTTCTACTTAATCCTTTGGCAGCTATTTCCAGATCCCCTCACCTGTTTCACAGTTAAATGCCACCACCACCACCAATGCCACAAGGCTGGGATGCCGCTGGAGGCTCTTGCCGTGCACCACAAGGCCTGGGACGTCAGTGCCGCAGCAGGAACACGTGGGGCAGGGAGAAGGTGTCTAGGTATGTATGTGCTGAACAGAAGGGTGCAGGCTGGATTCAGGAGAGACGAAACAGCTCTGTTGGCAATCCCTCCCTGGCTCAATTTCTGCTAAAATGCTGGAAGTCTACTTTGGGGGCTGCCAGTGACCTACCGGGTGGCCAGGAAATGCGGCCACTGAAGCATTTTGGAGCTGTAGGGAAGTTGTGTTTGTGTAGAAGGGTCATTTGGCTAATTACTCGAGCAGGCTTGCCCAGAAAGGTGGCAACACCTGTACCAGCCCCATGGCCCAGCTTTCCACAGGCCCAGAGGTATTTACTATCGGGCTGATGCCAACCATATTTCTGGTATGAGATACTTCATGTATTTTATCACTCTAGCTCTCATGAAATTTGGCATATATAGCAGTATATAAACACAACATGTACTCCTGTATTCATATATACACGTAACATATACACACACATATATACTTGTAACATGGGCATCCCAACTCCCTGAGTCAGAGAGCCAAAAAGCAGAGTTTCTGGATGTGGTGCTCGGGGTCCATCACAGAGGGGATGTGCGTGGGCTTTGCGTGGTCCCAGACCCTCTTGAGGGAAACCACGGCCATCCAGCTGAGCGAGCACAAAGGTGCATCCCCCAGAACCACCCTGTGCCCGTGGGCTCTGTGCCATCCTGGCACTGGCAGGTGCAGGAGGCAGATCTCGTGTTCCTGAGGGAGCCCGATCTCTGCCGTGGGGCGAGGCAACTCCACGCTGCAGCCGGGGCCGTGGGGCACCAGGCACTGCCTCCACGCCACCCTGGCACCCGCTCCCTGCCACGGGCACGTGTGGAAAAGGGCTCCCTGCAGCTGCATCCCCCAGAGGAACAGCAGGAGATGGTTTGATGTGTGTTTTATGGTGACCTCAGCGACCCGGAGCCTCGCACCTCATCCATCACAGGGTGAGGCACCCAGCTCCTGCCCTGCGTGCTGAGGCTGGGCTCTGCCAGGGCTGCCCAAAGCCCAGTGGCCCAGAGTGTCCCAGAGCTCACCCAGGCTCCCCTCAGGCCCTGGTCACTCCCTGGAGGGTGCTGCACGCTGTGGCCAATGGCTGGAGCTAAGGCAGAGGGGCACATCAGCTCCTCACACCCTGCAGGTTTTCAGTCTGGAGTTCTCCATGGGATTTCCACTGCAGATATTCATGTGGGGAGGATGGGAGGAGTTGTGTTAACCCATGTCCATGTACCACTCAGTAATCCACACATAAACATGTATTTCTGCTACTGTCTCAAAGGACTGTTCATTTTGGCTCTTTGTACTGAAGGTGCAGCATTTCCTTACCCACTGCAGAGCACGCCCGAAACTCGTGCCCCAAAGCCCTGGCAAGACCAAGAGCCTCTGAGAGCTTCTGCCACAATGATGCAGTGGTTTCTCAGTAAACTGGAAAGGGAATCACCCCAGGGGGCTGATCCACAGAAAACATTGCAAGGCCAGGGCAGCACAGGCACCCCCAGCCCCTCTGCTGCCTCGGGCTCCCAGGGTCAGCTCCTACTCCAGCAGCAGCAGCTGGGCTGCCCCAGGGGCTGAGCAAGGGCCAGCCCTGCTCTTTGCACTCACAGGGCACGGCCCAGGGACAGGCTCAGCTTCCAGATAAAATTTGTTCTGTCTGCTCAGGGTTGCAAAGCACCTGCATCAGGGAAGGGCGCCCTGAGTGGGCTTACCTGCTCCAAAGCTGCCAAGGGGAGCCTCACACTCACCCCAGGCCCTTGGTGAGAGTGGCTAATCCCCATGCTGAGCTGATGGTCAGCCAAGGTCAGACCCATAAAAAGCCCCTATCCCCCAGGCTCGTGGTGCTGAATGTGTCTGAAGGATGTGATGTAAGTGTTGTTCCATCAGCTGTTTCATCTTTCTGTGACTTAATCTCTTAGTGAGGCCACTTGTAACATAACTTTTCCATAACTTTTCAGAGCAACCTTGTCCAATGAACTGGATCCCCGAGCATTTTCTTTTGTTCACACAATGGCATTTTAGAAGGGACTAACGCAAACATTTTTATTTAGACTGCATTCATCATTATTTAAATATCAATACAGTTTTTGCAATAGTTACCAAGAGTTCCCAGTACCAGGGGAAAATAAAACATAGCCACATGCTTGGCCATGTTCAGAGCTTCAGCAAGCCTCTCCATCTTTTAGCTCAACATGCACGGTGATAGGTGTTAGTACACTGCATAAATACAAAATAAAGCACATGTTAAAATAGAAGTTTCTCGATGGGCCTGGAGAGCCACAGCCTCCTCCTGCCATGCCAAAACCCCGGTGTGAGAGCTGTTGTCTGGGCTGGGATGCAGAGCACAGGATGCACAGCGGCCAGAGCAGCGATACCTGGTGAAGGAGAGACCAAGGCTGGGGGACAGAGACACCTGTGCCGCCTCCTGTGCTGCCCCTGCAGTGCCAAAGCCACAGCAAAGGCCACGTCTCACCACTGCAATTAAAACATCAGCTGCCTTCTGGCAAAGCCCCGGAGCAGTCATGAGACAGACACTTTCCTCCTACCATCCTCAGGAAAAGTGAGCCATGCTACTGCTGAAATACATAAATAACACCTTCAAAAACTCCAACATTTTCAAGTACTCCCAAGCAGGGCCTTTCCTCCTCAGATATTGTGGTCCTATTCCCTCACAAGCTGCTCCTCACAAGCCAGGACAGGCAAAGCTGAATCCAAATGGCAGCCCTGGAGTCAGGAACACACAGCTGTCTGCCAGAGAAGGAACACGTTTCTGTTCTGCTCTGCTGGAGGATTTAACCTGGGAGCGTGAAGGTCACAATTAATAGCTTAAGAAATAATGAGCCTCCCCAAAAGTGACAGCTCTGCACAGCCCTAAGGAAGGTCCTTGGCCAGCATGAACGTGGTGCTACAGAGGGAAGAGCTTCCTGTGGTGACCGAGGGAGGCTGAGCTTCCCTGCCACTGTGGCTGTGACGACCGAGGGAGGCTGTCCCGAAAAGTTCTGGTCTCCCTTCAAGAAAGAGCAGGAGCTCTTCCTGTGCCTGGTACTGCAGTGCAGCACAGCCTGAGCTCTGAGCAAACACTCCTGGCAGCCTGGACACTTGGGAGCTTTGAACAGCGAGCCCTTTTCACCTAACCCTTTGCAGATTGGAAAGGGGAGATCACAGTCCCCAGCGTTTCCCTCGGCTTCCTCTGTGCCCACACCTGTCTGGGAGCCATCCAGACGGCAGGAGGAGCGGTGACCCTGCCGGTCTGGTCCCTCTGTGGGCAGTGCCAGGGCTGGCACAGCTCCCCAGCAGCCTCCCGGGCTCACAGGGCTCACACAGCGACTGTCCCCAGCTCCTGCCAGACACAGACCCCAGCGCCCCTACACCGACCTCAGAGGAGGGTTTGCTACACACACTGAGCCTGGATTGGGTTACAAATGCTGGCTGTTGCATGACATGGATACAACGGGGACATTAGACAGCTACTGGAGACAGCTCTGTTGCTTCATGCCAATGAATGCTTTTGCTGCCATATATTCTGCAAGAGCCCGGCCCTGCCTTGCTGCAGGCTCAGGCGCACTGAGAAATGATGTTGGAGTTGCAGTCTAAGCTGTGAGTGTGGTTTCTTTTGCAGTTTTCAGGCCCACATCCAGAGCCAGGCGGGCTGACCAAGTCCAGGTAGTAAGGGGACTTGAGGAAACGGCGGTAAGAATCTTTTTCCATGAGGGTGAATATTTTCCTCTGAGCCTCATCAAAGCAGGACAGTGTCGGCTCCAGCATGTTGTGGCTCGTCTTCTCCCGTGTGCACGAATCCAAGTTCACCTGGGGGCCAAAGGGACAGTGTCAGTAGAACCTGTCCCAGAAGGTGAAATAGGACGGGGAAGAACCAAGTGTCTCTGTACCATGTGTGCTCGGCGAGCAGTTGTCTGAAATGGCTGTTTGACAGCCCAGAATCTGTAATCTGCTATCTGCTATCTGTAATCTGCTATCTGCTATCTGCTATCTGCTATCTGCTATCTGCTATCTGCTATCTGCTATCTGCTATCTGCTATCTGCTATCTGCTATCTGCTATCTGCTATCTGCTATCTGCTATCTGCTATCTGCTATCTGCTATCTGCTATCTGCTATCTGCTATCTGCTATCTGCTATCTGTTATCTGCTATCTGCTATCTGCTATCTGCTATCTGCTATCTGCAATCTGCTATCTGTAATCTGCTATCTGTAATCTGCTATCTGTAATCTGCTATCTGTAATCTGCTATCTGTAATCTGCTATCTGTAATCTGCTATCTGTAATCTGCTATCTGTAATCTGCTATCTGTAATCTGCTATCTGTAATCTGCTATCTGTAATCTGCTATCTGCTATGTGTAATCTGCTATGTGTAATCTGCTATGTGTAATCTGCTATGTGTAATCTATTATCTGCTATCTGTAATCTGCTATCTGCAATCTGCTATCTGCTATCTGTAATCTGCTATCTGTAATCTGTTATCTGCAATCTGTTATCTGCAATCTGTTATCTGCAATCTGTTATCTGCTATCTGTTATCTGCTATCTGTTATCTGCTACCCAGCAGAAGCTGGAAACGAATGCATCCCTGCTACCAGAAGAGCTGTCAGGGGAGACTGACACACATCCCTCTGGATGGAGCCAGCCAGGAAACTCAAACTGCACGGGAGCAGCTGAAACATTGGGATCCCAGACCTCTCCCATTTGAGTGTGCACACGGGATGGCCACGTGGGTGTAACTAAACACACCTTCTCTCTATCCAAGCTTAATATAAAATCAATAAAAAACACACCACGTCCTTGCTAACTGCCAGAGAAGCAGAACCTTCATCTCTTGTGAAACCACTGACCTCTGCTTGCCTGTGCTGCTGCTTCAGAATTCAGGGTGGTGCCTCTGTCCGAGGAATGCTCAGTGCACATACCTCTTTCGTGGCCTGCACCGAGATGAACTCATCATAGATCTTCCTGGCCTTGGGGCTGAGCTTGGCTGGTGACTTGGTTTTCTTGTACTCCTCACAGCTGACCCAGAACTCGATGTTTTCCTCACTGTACTCAGATTTGAGGAAAGCACGGAAAGCAGCCAGCCCTCCTACGGATTGTCCAAAGGGAAACAGGTCAGGTGAGAGTGCTGGTCCCTGAGCCCCAGCAAACAGGGACTGTGGGTTCTTCCCAGAGAAGGAGCTGCCAGTGGGGACAGCTGGTCCATGCCAGCCAGGCTGGGATTCCCACAGGCCCCGTGGGGATGTCACACGTGGGGATGTCACACGTGGGGATGTCACACGTGGGGATGTCACACGTGGGGCCCAGCTGCCTGCTCCCCGCCGTGACCTCCAGCATCCCTGCCAGGGGAACACAGGCAGCTCGTGTGCTCCCAGGAGGCCTCGAGGAGACAGCCAGCACGCTCCACAGAGTCTCAGACCATGGGAACAATGTGAAGGAAACCTCAAGGACATCAGTTTAGCCCACAGCTGATGGGAAGACAAAGTCTCCCATGGGCTCAGCTGCAAATAATATCTCCAATTTTTGGTTCTCGTTTAACCCACCACTAACTGTAGGTCCCTCCTCTTGCACAAGGGCTGAACCAGCTGTCTTCACAAAAGAGACAACTCAGCAGGCCAAAACCACATTCACATCACATTGGGACTGACCCTTGGGCCTGAGCAAGGGATCTCCACCCCTCCCTGAGGTCTGTGTGGCCAGAGGAGCTCCTGTGTGCCCCTAAGAGCCAGAAGATAATGTCCCATGTCCCCTCCTGGGGCTGCTCACAGCACACATGCTCTGCAGGCAGTCAAAGGGCCCTCTTCACTTACTGTCATGATGGATCAAGTTTTCCAAAGAGTCTGCCCATTTTCTGACTTCCTCTTGGCTAAGCCTAGGAGGAGACAAAGGGAGAAACACAGGGCTGAGTAAAAGGGAGTGCAGAAAGGACAAATTTTGTTTGTTTCTCAGCACCACTAGAAAATCTTTCTCCCTGATTCTTTTAAGAGCATACACAAGAGACTGAGAATGAAATACCAGCTTGTTTAACAGATACCTCCAGGGATCCCAGATCTAACTCATGGGAATTTTGGGTTGCAATCCTCATCACCAGCCATGGGCTAGAAATGAATTTTCCTGGAAAAACTGCCGTGGAATTCATATTTATTTTTTGCCTGGCTGCATCTCTTGCTGGAGCACAGAGCTGGAATAACTCAAAGGGCTGATTCCTTTAACCTGGCAGGGGAACAGTAGCTATGTGCAAGAGAGGAATGTGGGAACTGGAAACACACAGGGAGCACTTCCTGCATTCATCCCCTCCCTCATCCTGGAACACCCTAAGGCTCATCTGTTCCAGGAGCAAACCTTGCCCTTTGGAGTCCTCTTTGGAGAGAGAACTCTCCTTGCAGCTCGGGGAGAGCAGAGATGCCCTGACAGGCTGCAGGCTGTTTTGTGTGCCTACACCTCTGTGCAGCTGTGTGGACCACTGCACAAATGCAGCTCAAAGAGGCAGGGATGCTGATCCTGCACTGGGTCTGGAATGGATCATTCCCCGGCACAGGACACTGTACACACCCTCCCCTGTGCTCATTCCTATGGAATCATGGAAGTGGTGGCAGGAAGGGACCTCTAGCTCAGCATTCTTCATGGAAATTGAAGTCCTCAGGTATGGATGGTCAGCTGACAGGACTATCAACACCTCAGGGCTGTTCCCACACTAGATCCAAGCACAGGTGCTCAGGAAGGACTGGGAAGCAGCAGCAGAAACACTACTGGAGGAGTAAACAACATGCTGCAGCCAGTCTGGGATTAGATAGCCAGATAGGTGACAGCACCTGCTCTTACCTCTGGCTTGCAGATACCTTCTCCTTCTTGCCCTGGGAAGAGCTGTAGTCACAGGAATCTGACTTCTGCAGCAAGAAGCCCAGACGGTGCTTCATGTCTTTGGCACTGAAAGCAAAAAAACCAAGGAGATGAAGACGATGCTTTGCACTCCCTCTGCAGCCTCCTCACTGCACAGGCTCCTCCAGCATCACTCAGTGACACAAATGCAGGTCACTGACAGGGACTCCAGGGCTGATTTTCCACTCGTCGCATAATGCACATTTTTATTTCTAGACAGATGCAACAATGCCAAAGAAGTAATTTCTCGTGTTCAACAGCTTCTTGCTGAGGAGGTCATCAGCCTGGGAGCAGGTGGCAAAGGGGGAGAAGCTGCTGTTTTCTGACTGTTTACAGTGAAAATATTGCAATGGAAAAGCACCACCATGCTGTGTGTGTCATCTCTCCTGGAGCTGGTCTGCCCAGCTGCCAGCCTGTGCTTCTTACACCCTTACTAATCCTTTCTGCAGCCCCTGCCATCTCCCCACCTCCCCAGCCAGCCACAGGAACTGCAGGGCCATGGCAGACCACCCCAGCAAGCCCATGACACACAGGAAAGGGAGGAAGTCAAGGGCTTGGAGCAAGACTGTGGGGTGAGATCAGGGGATGAGCCAAGAGCTCCACCACAACCAGCCCACGCTGACTGCAAGCTGCTCCCTTGCTCCAAGGAAAGCTCCTCTGAAGATTCATCCCTAATTCTGTTCCACCTTCCAGCACGCTCAGGACAATAATTTCCTCTCAGCAGCTCCTAGATATGCAGCTGATAGTGGTCTTGGCACCTCTCTTGGCTTCCTTCCAGTTTGAGGGGTGGGCAAACCACTCCTGCTTGCTCAGGGGCACAAGCCCTGGTCTGCTCCAGGGTACAGCTGTAGTGTAAAGCAGGAAATTCCTCTCCCTCTCCCCAGCCTGGAAAAGAGCAAGAGGCTGTGGCACAGGGCTCCAGTAGCTGCTCAGCCTCCCAGCTCTGCTCTCTGCTCCAGCACCCTGCCAGGCGTGCTGGCCATAGCTGATCTCACTGCTTGCCTCAGAAATGTTCCCTTAACAGCTCCAGCGCTCAGGGAGAGCAAAGGGAGCTCACAGCTGCTTCAGAGCAGGGTGCCTGTGACCACCACCACCATCCAGGCTCTGCCCAGGCACACATGGAGGGGCTCTGGGCTGCCAGGCTTGGGCTGCTGTCGTGCTCCTTGCCCAGGAGAAGGAGAGTGCTCAGGTCTGCAGAGGGGTGGCAGCAGGAGGGAACAAGACACTGCTGCTTGCAGCCAGTCCCACAGCTTTCTGGGATTTCGCTGGGAATCCTGCACAGAGGTGTTTAAAAGACATGAACTATTCTTCCTTGCATTTTTTCAAATTTCTTTTTATCCTCATCAAATGTTCCTGCCAACTGGAAGTGTCAACACTTTTTCCTTGTATTCTCAGCACCTGTTTTCAAATCCAACCATGAGCAGGAAGCTTTATCCTCCAGATGGGAGCCATCTGAGTCTCTGCTCACATTTTCCCAACTCACTGCACAGCTGTGGGCAGCAGCCTCAGGAGAGCTGCTGATGGCACCAGTGGGCAGAAAGGCAGCGCTGCCTTCCCGAGACCCGCACGAGCTGGGATGGGCTGGGTGAGAAGGGAGCGCTGTGCCTCCCTCCTGGGCATCTCCAGGCCCCAGAGCACCTGAAAGGGAGTGACAGCCCTCCAGGAGGGCTCATGCCAGCCTAGAGACCCCTGGTGCTGGGCTGTGGGGCAGGCTGTGCTGCCGAGGGCACGTTTGGGGCTGTGCAGGCTCTGCTCTGCTGATCCCACACACCAGGGTGCAACCAGGTCCTGCAGGGCCACAGTCCTGATTGGCACCACACGATGTGTGATGAGCCCCAAACAGCCCCACTGTGCCCTGGGCTCCAGCCCAGCCTGGCCCCACAACAGCCCCACTGTGCCCTGGGCTCCAGCCCAGCCTGGCCCCACAACAGCCCCACTGTGCCCTGGGCTCCAGCCCAGCCTGGCCCCACAACAGCCCCACTGTGCCCTGGGCTCCAGCCCAGCCTGGCCCCACAACAGCCCCACTGTGCCCTGGGCTCCAGCCCAGCCTGGCCCCTCAGCATCACCCAGGGAGCTCAGGCCGATCCCAGCCCGGCTGGTGCCGCATCCAGAGCCAGCGTGCCCCACATCCCTGCCTGCTGGCACACGGGTCCCTGCTCCTGCCAGGCTGCATTTCTGCCTCTGAAATGCATTTCAGGCGATAATCCTTAATTTTCGTCCTGTCTGCCTTGCTTCCCCATTAAAAGAATCAAGAAAATTTAGCAGAGAGGAGTCAAGGGAGAAAAGGGGTGCGAAGACTGCAGCAGAAGCAGCTGACAGGAATATCAAAACATCGCAAAGCTAAAAGCCGCTGGACTTGATGATGGGGATGATGGGAAGAAAGGCTTTAGAGCTCCCACAGCTTTCCGCAATTCTGCTTCTAGCTGAAAAAAACCCGAAACACAAAAGCCTCTCAGCAATCATTTGTCTCTAATCTCGCAAAATAATCAGAGCCAAATCTGTCCTCCCAATGCATCAGCGTGTCTCCGGGCTAGCGAGACCATCAGCAGATGCTCAGAAATAAACAGTACCTTTTTAAGCAAGTGGCTGGCAGCGCAGCGAGTCCCTTGCACATCTTGCTGCCGAGGTCGGATGAGTATTCCAGGAAAAACAAGGAGGAGGAGGAGGAGAGGCTGCGGCGGCTGCGGGATCGCGCTGTGTTTTATAGGCGAGCCCGACAGCCCGGCAGCGCTGGGTGACCCAGTCAGGAGTCAGCAGCAGCACCCGGCCCCTTCCTGCCCACCCAGGAGGAACAGGCTGACGTATAAAACACAGACAAAGCGTGAGAGATTGAAAACCTTACCAGAAACGAAGCTCGGTGTCTGCCTGCAGAGGTGGACTCTTTTAAAAGGGCTCAAAAAGCTCCGGGGACTTCCTCTGTTGCAGGAGGTTGGAATGATGCAGATGAAAAGCAGATTTTCGGGGGGGTGGGGTGGGGGAAACACAGGCAGGAAAAAAGGTCAGAGAATCAATTCTGAGAAGCGAGATGAGCTTTGCCGGTTCCTCTGTTAATTTCCTTTCCTCTGCTATTTAAAGTAACCTGGATCAAAAAAGGGACAAAAATTTTAAACAGAAAAGGTTACTGTAATCCCAACAAATGAAGAAAATAGAGCTCTTAAGGAAAGAAGAATGTAAATTCACCAGGGAACTACCCAGGCAGATGAGACTTTCCAGTTTTATTCTAGAGTCATGTGAATATATATTTTTGGTGAGGCTGCAAAAAAAGCTCGGGGCGGCGGGGGGTGCTGAGCGCTATTGGAATTAAAATGTGCATGTCTCAGCACAGAGATCTGAGGACAGCTCACGTACATGCGTGGAAAAAAAGGAATTTAGGATGTCGGCAGCACATCTGCCTTAGGTATGGGTATCACTGCAACACCTTCTCCGTTTGTTTTGCAAAATGAAAAGCCAGACCTTGGGACTCTGGTATCCCCAAGGAAAGATGGTTAATTAAAATAAAAGGCTTAACTGTGCCTGCCCAGAGAAGTCTTTGAAGCAGTTCCGAGGGTACTTTGTGCTGAAGAATGAAGCCACGAGACACCTGCAGGGGTGTCTGCCCTGCCCTGGCTCTGCTCTAGCTCCAAGGAGAAGGGAGTGATTTCAGCTCCCTCTCCTCAGCCCTTGGATGGTGCAGAAGGCAGTTGCCCCTCTAGGGACAGAGAGAATTGGCTGATATTTATCGAGTTGCAGCTCAGCACAGCCTGTACCATCCTCATCAAAGAGGGGAAGGCTTTGGGCAGACGGCCGTGCATATGGGCTGCTGCATCTCCAGTCCTGCTCCTGCTGAGAGATAAAGGAGCCTCTGATTAGCAGCAGGCTGCCTGCCCACACCACCCACTGCTGCATCCCTCTCCCAGAAACCTCCCAGTGCTTTGCTCACCTCTGCAGAACCTGCAGGATGAGCCCTTCCCTCCTGTGTCCCTAAAGCCTCCAGCCAGCAGCACAGAGTCCAAAGGCCAGGAGAGTTTACCTCCCTCGGCATGCTGCATCCTCTCAGATCATTAATTGTGCTGAAAGGCAACGCTCTAATTAACTGGAATAGGCTTTTGTAGGAGCGTGACTGTCCTGCTGCCAAACCTGAGGCAACGTGCCTGCGAGTCCTGCCCCGTTCAGACTGAAAATCAGCTCCAGCTCAGGGCAGTGTAAAACCTCACCTGAGTGAATGTCCTCCTCCTTTAGCTGGGGAGCTGACAGCACTTGTGTGGATCTGTAGGCAGCAGCTGAGCACTGGCAGAGTTGGCTCCTGAGCTCTCTGGTGTCTTCTCTTTGGGGAGAAGTCGAAGGGCAGAATATGGCAAACAGAAAAAAACGTAACTAATTATTTACTAAATATCTAATTGATTTAATTTGACTATCAAACTTGTGCAGTGACATTTAAACAATTCAAGAGCTCATCTGGCTGACACAAATCAAGGTGTTTGCAAACTCTAACCTTGCCCTTCTCTCTGGCAAGGTTAGAGCTCTGGCTCAGGCAGGTCCCAAAGGCTGCTTGCTAGGGCAAGGAACTTCTGTGCAGAACACAAAACTCTGCAGTTTGTCTGCAAAATGTTGCAGAGCCGGATTTAGGAATGTCACACTTCTCTGTGGATTGCAAGCACATTTGCTGCATGGCTGTAACAACACTAAGATGCTGGTGTTGACAACATCAGGTCACCTTCTGCATTTCCCAACTTCTCTGTGAGCAGGCTGTAATCGGAATTTCTGGCACTGCAATCACAACAGCCAGCCTAAAGGGCTTTGCAATTAAGACCATCCTCCCTGGCCCAGGCATGGAGACTCCTAGAAGTGCTGCAGTTGACATTTCCCTTTTTCCAGTTCATTAACACTGACTGGCTCAGCCTGGCCCCCATGAGAGGAGTTTGGGTTTGTGCACTGTTTCTCCTCTAAGCTCTGTTTCCCAGCTCTTGCAGTTTAATATCATCTCAGCTGCTCCAGCTGGTCTCCAATCTAAAGTATCCCCTTCCATCTCCCACCATCACAGGCAGGCCTCTTCTCCCAGGGTACAGGCTGTGCTGTGCTCAACATCAAATTCTCCTCCTCCTCCTCCTCCTCCCTGCCAGCTAGTGAAGCGGCAGCTCATGCCATGTTTTACGCCTGGCACATCATCCCTGGCTCGCTTCACCTGCTAGTGGAGAACTCAGAGCTGAGAATGGGCTGGGATGCAGGGATGGGATGGGGCTGGGATGCAGGGTTGGGATGGGGCTGGGCCATCCCTGGGGTGTGTGGTGCTTTGGAGGCACCAGGGGCTCTCCAGAGGAATCCAGGGGCTCTCCAGAGGAATCCAGGGGCTCTCCAGAGGTACCTAGGGGCTGTCCAGAGGCACCCAGGGGCTGTCCAGAGGCACCCAGGGGCTGTCCAGAGGCACCCAGGGGCTCTCCCGAGACACCCAGGGGCTCTCCCAAGACACCCAGGGGCTCTCTGGAGCCAGCACGATTGTAAAGGCCTGTGGTACCCACCGTGGCATCCCTCACCCCCTCTCCTCATCCCTGCTCATCCTGAGCAGCTGGAGATGAGGCTCTGAAAGGGAGCTTTCCCTGCCAGGGAAGAGCGTCACACGAGCGCGTGGGATGCGTCCCTGGGCTCCGCCGCAGCCAGGGCAGCCCGTGGGAGGAGGCAGGAAGCACGAGGAGTGCTGCTGCTCCCGTGGCCATTGCCACAGGCTGCTGCCCTCCCGGCCCAGTGCCTTCCCTTCCCATCCCAGAGCAGCTGCCATGGGCTGGGAAGATGCCGCTGTGTGTCACTGGGAACCGGGAGGGCTGTGAGGATGTGCTGCTGGGCCAGGGCCACGCTGCCTCCCCCGGCCTGCCTTGCAGGGGCTGGGAGCCATCACCACTGCCACAGAGCCAGGGGCACCTTGGGGAGGGGTGAGGGAAGGTGCACAGCAGAGCACTGCACGCCTCTGCCATGGCCATCCACGTCCACTCAGCATTTGGTGAGGGGCTGGAGCAGCTCCCACACAGCTGCCACCAGCTGGGCTGGCACTGGTCCCCAAGCCCCCAGGCTCCACATGCAGCCACTTTGGTGACATTCCTGCCCAGGTGAGCGTCCCCAGTGCTGTGGGCAGGGGACCTGGACTGCTGAACTTCTCAAAGTGCTTCCTCCATACCCCCAGGCACTCTTTGCACAAAAACCCTTCCAGTGCAAGCACCCACCGCTGATATTTTCTCCAGTGCACCCGGTAGCAGGTAAGATTCCCTTCCAGCACCGAGGGCTGCATCTTACCCACACAGGCGTGTGGCTTGAGTGAATTCAGCTAGAGAGCTGGGAGCAGAGAGCCCTGGAAGGACCACTGTGGTCTGAGCTTGGATGGATGAGCTCAGCAGTGTCCGTGCCTGACACTGCAGCAGCCACATTTCCTGTCCCAGGGCACTGAGTGCGGCCTGACCTCCCTAAGAGACACACCGAGAGGCCACACTCGGCCCCACAGGGCCCCCCAGCCAGAAGCACTGTCCCACAGCAGGCTCTGAGGGAATTGTCCTTTCCCATGGCTCTGCAATGGCTGTGTGACTGCCTGGCCCTGGTGGCCAGCCCCCAGAGGTGGCCCGAGGAGAGGCCATCTCCTCCTGGATCAGCCTGGCAGGAGGGATGGGTCACCCTGCTGCAGTATGGGGACTCTGCCGCTCACACAGAAACCTCAGGAGCATGTGGATGTGCCTCTAGGCTGGCCCAGTCCCCTTTCTGCCCTGCATGCACACGGCAAGACGGAGCTCCTGAAGGCAAAGCAGCTTTAGTTTGCTGTCAGAGTTTCTTGGTGAGCCTGCTCTCCTCTGAAATGATGCTCTGTACACATTAGCACGTTCGTCTGGAACCTCCCTTAGCTCCACTTCACACAGTTCATACAACCAAATCTTCAATCCAGACAACTCCCCCGTGCTCTCACTTGTGTCCTAGCTCTATGTGCACCTACAGCTCAGGCCTTTTGTCTTTTCTACGGGCTTGCAATTTCCTCGTCATTCTGAGCGAGAGGTGGGAGGCGTATTTTCTTTCTTTGCTTCAACCCCAAGGTTTTGAGCTGCCTACTTGTCCTGTTACAACCCAGAAAAAATATTTCAGCTCCTGTCAAAGGAAGAATTTTGTTCAGCCCAAATGGATGAGTTTTTTTCCTCTCCTGGACTGGATTTGCTAAGTGTTGTTTTTTGGTGTGATTTTTTTTTTTTTTGTGGGTTTTTTTTCATTTGATTGGTTGGTTGGGGTTGTTTTGTTTTGTTTTGTTTTGTTTTGTTTTGTCTGGCTATTGTTCTTTTTCCATGGCCATCAGACCACAGGAAAATCTATTATTTGAGTAACTTACCTTCCAATTTCCCGAATCTCTGTCTCCTCATCCATTTTGATTAACAGCCCTTTAAACATTTCCTGCTAATCACTAAGACAGTTTGAATAACACTGCACCACAAACCAGTCAACATATGGTTGTTCACTGATGCTTTCTCAATACAAAAACCACTTTGAAATGCCTCATTTAGACACTTTTAGTGCATTTAATATGGATTTTATGACACTTTAAGCCAAATATTGATAGCATATCATATTCACTTATAAATCTATTTCACCACCATAACTTCCTCATGAAAAAACTATTAAGCACATTAGAAAAGGTCTATTTTTCCATTAGATCATGTCAGCTGGTATCAATGACGTCACCACCTTTTCCAATG